GTTTACCACTCTTCATGTAAATTGTTAAATTGTTAAAGCCCAAGATAAACTATTTTCTACAGTATTAATCTTTTGTCTCATTTGCAACAGGATTGCATTTTACTGTTATATTTTAGATGTTCTTTATTGATTTTTCATCACAATTTTATCATCATCATCTGCTAATGTCTCTTATTGGAGCAGTCAGCGCTCATAAGGATCATTTTGTGTGAAAGAAGAGTTATGCAACCCATGAAATGCACTTTTTCTTGTGAGCAAGCACAGAGCCTGAAGCAAAAGGCCTAGCTTAACTGAGAAAGTTGATAACCGCTGTCATGATACCCATCATAGCCAGCTGGGTTTTGAATTTTGTTGAGCCAGCTACGGCAAAGAAAGCTTGGTTGTGTTAAAATACATTTACCCTTCAGGAGAAAACACAATTATTTGTCAAAAAGCTTGAAATTAGGGCCTAGTGGTTGCTCGTTTTCCTTTTGTTTTGCTTTGTTCATTTGTCTCTTTTAATTCTATTTTGTTGTACTTTTTCAACATGTTCAAAATAAAGATTCAATCAATCAATCAATCAATCAATCAATAGATGCAGACCGAGAAGGCAGGCAAAGTAAACACACTCAAAACACACCTTTAGTAGCAAATGGATCTCATTCACTACTAAAGGTAATGTTTTCTTTGTTGCTTCGATCCAATTCAGAAATGAAAAAAGTCCACAAACATGCAAGAATAAGAGTGGGAAACACACTAGAAGGATAAACATGCATGGTGATAAAGGCTGAGGAGAAGACAGTAGACTTTAATATACATAAGGGTAACCAAGAGAAGTGGACAAAGCAGAGTAAGCACACAGATGATAAAAAATAAAGACAATGAGACAGGAGTGTAAGCAAACCTAAACACAAAACTCTAGAAACAACAAGCAAAATAAGACAGAAAGAAACTTCTACAGAGGCCAGACGCACACAGACACCTAAGAGCTGCTAAACAATGAGGGAAACTGGAGTGAAAGAAAGCTGAGAATGTGTCGATAGTTGTGCACATTGTCATTTGGTAGGATATTAGCAGCAAATACAAGCAATGCAAGGGATAATACATAAAGGTTGTTTTTTTGTATAAAGGGTATAATTTTTTGATAAAGTCTATCAATGATTGCAGAACTGGTGATAACAAGGCGATTACAGAAGTGTATAATTTAATGGTATTAGCAGCAGTAGGACTTTTTTTTTCCAGTTATTCCCCGAAATTTGATTTGCATTATAATACAATCCTGATTTTATGAACTTTAAAAAGCATGTTAAAATTTTTCTTTCCCCCTTCCTTTTCCTTCAGTGACAGATTTTGTAATGGATAGGTACAGCTGCAGAGAAACAGGCTGACATATTTCCTGTCAATTATGTTTTTCTCAAATGTTTACTCGTTAATTGCTCATCTAAAGTAATAGATTAGCTACCCAAGGGCACTTATTGCTCATTCAAAGTGGCCACTTACACTTGTCTAGCGGTTTACTGGTAATTCAGACTAGTCTTTTAAATGTTGTAGCACATGTTAACCAATCAAATCAAGATTTATAGAAAATAATTGGCTCATTTAATATAATCTATTATTCATAGTATTGTTTACCTTTGTGATAATAGCCCATAGCCCATCCCTGTTTTGTGAGATGTTGTTTTATTTGCTTTGTTGATGTTGATTTTGTGATATGGAAGAATGTCATTATTAATCTGCTTTATGCAACAGACATAGATAGTGACCGATGAATTTACATATTAATGATTCCTTATATTAGAATATTTGCATGTTTGTTTATTCCAATTGGTAACACTACCAGTTCCCTCAGCAAGGCTCTCAAAATACTTTCCTCACACCTGGAAACAATATTCAGAGTTTTACATGTTTCTGTGTAAAACCTTCTTTCAATACTGCATGTAAAAGTGGACTAATTAACCATTCAGTGCAGTATATACGGTATGCACTTTAACACACACAGTCAGTCCAATATAGTTAAGTCAGCATCATCAGAAAACAAAGAAAATATAATATAAAATATAATCTATCCACAGCTGTTAACACAAAGTCCTTAATAATCTCTGTCATTAGTAATCTCCATATCAGTAAACTGATGCCCATTCTGTGAATACTGATTTAAGATCATGAAAGCCCATTTTGGTATTAACTGAATCCCTACTACAGCGATCAAGGTAGTTTGAAAAAAGTGGTTTACAAAAGGTTTATCAGTTGAGGGCTGGGGAATTTTGGACTGATTCCATCTTGGACAGGTAGGATATGAAAGTCATTCTATGTGGTATTCCCACAGATGCCGTGGGATAGAGATACTGATGTAACAGTCTGACCGAGAGCTAAGTTGGATTAGCATTTATTTTTCATTTGTGTGTGTGTGTGTGTGTGTGTGTGTGTATTAAAGAGTCATCACAAATCTTCGAAAATATATCTATCTATGAATATCACAGAAAAGTGAAAGCTCCTTCGTTTGGACAGTGGACGTAAACGCAACCTAGACACGTGACTAAAACCAGGAAGTGAGTTCAGTGTCAACAACAAAAGGGTGAGTGTGCAGTTATTCGTATAGAGTTTTAGTTTTATTCTTAGTTCTATAAGACTCAGTTATTTAAAAAAAATGTTTTAAATCACCCAAACTAAACGGCATGAAAAGTTTAATTTAGAAAATCGGCATGCTTCGTGAGCAAACGCTAGGCAGCTAACCGGGTCGAGTGGTAACGTGATTCATTACAACCTCGTAGAAAAGGTAATCGTCAGGTAATAGCGCATTTTGTCGTGAGTTCCTCCTGTGGATCATGGGTCTGAGGTTTATTTTGTGTCAAAAAGACCTGCCTTATCTTCACACTGAAGCAGAGTGAAGTGTAATATTACAGTTAGCTAACAGTGTATATGTTGTGGTCTACCCCACTGTGTTAAGCTTGTGTTCTGTGGACTAATTGCAGGTGTGTAGGGTTATTAAACAGGAAGAGATGGCCTCGTCAGAATGGAATCTGTCTTTGAAGCTGGTTGATCAGCCCAAATCTACCTTCCACTTCCCGGAGATGATGCCAGGTGATGTTCCACCTGGAGGATACAGGGTCGCCACCCTGAAACAGCTTGTTGCAGCTCAGTTCCCAGACTCCATCCCAGACCCTGAACTAATAGGTACACCCAAAAACCTCCGCTGTTAAACTTGGGTTGATATGAGACCTTGACATACAGCATGAAGTGCATGCTTATTGTTCATCATCCTTTAGCTGTCAGTGAAATCTGTGCATGTCTCTATGTGAAAATCTCACCACTCTACTGTGTGTTTACCAGAGTTGGTCCACTGTGGACGCAAACTTAAAGATGACCTTACACTGGATGCCTGTGGGATTCAACCAGGATCCACCTTACACATCCTCAAAAAGACGTGGCCAGAGCCAGAGAGTAGTCCAGGTCTGTGTGTATGCATCATTTAAGCTTAAAACTGTGTATAAGATGTAAATGACATTGAACGTGTGAATCTGAATGTGTGTTTGTATTTTCCAGAGCCAGTAAACAGGGTAACTGCAGCAAGGGAGTTCAGGGTGTTTCATGCTGCTCTTCATTCTCTCAGCTCGGCCTACAGGGACTCGGTGAGTAGAGGAGAGGAAACACACTGACGGTAACTGAGCTGCTTAGGATTTCAGCTAATTTTTAGTGAGTGTTAAAAAGAACTTGATCCTTCATTCACTTCTTATGAGATTTCTCTCTCTCCACAACAACCATTTTGGCTAATATCTAAATTTTGTTTGAGGAAAAGAAGAATCAGAGATCTTTTGCTTGTTAGGCAAATGTG